ATATATATATATATATTTTTTTTAATTAAAATTTTTATGGTTTGCAACGGATTTACAATCGAACTACATGGAGCAATGGTTCTATTTGACACAGTGCGACTACACCTAAAAACAAAGCGCGCCTGAGGTTTGATAGTGCCTGTGATAAAAGATTGGATATTTTTATATTAAAGTACAATGTTCAAGTTTTCATTTGAGCCCTATCTGAAGTCTCTTACACATAGGGTTTGTCTGCTACGAATTTTCAAAAATGGTAAAAAACGCGTTTTTTGAAAGTTTCAACCCCGTTCTTCTCGAAAACCTGACGTGATAGGCCATTTTACCTTGCGGATTTGGATTCAACGCACAAAAAGCTGTAAGAAGCTATTCGTTTTTTCCAGACCGCAAAATCATGCAGATCTGTATTATCAGTCAAGCTTTATTAAGAATTTTCGCAATTTAAATCTAAAAAGAAATTTTTGTACAGATTAAACACAGTTCAAGCTGATTGTGAGTCTTGACCAGGATTGAGAAGGTTATTTTATAAAAGTAACTTTTTACCGTTCTTTTTTCTAAAAAGTAACTCGTTACTGTGACTCATCGTTACCAATTTTAAAATGTAACTCATTATCCTTACCGTTACCTTACCGGTACCGTCAAAAAGTAATGAGTCATTACAATTTCCGTTACATTTTTTACATACAATACAAATTTTACATACAATTTAAATGTTATAAATTTACATTAACACTAAAAATTTTTAAATATTATTTTACATTAAAGTAACAAAAATGATATAATTTTGAATTTTGATAGTAATATTGATTTGATCGATCGCTATTGATCGACGTTTTTATATATACTACTCGCCTTATATAAAGTAGAAAGAAACAAGATATCAAAAAGAGCTTCTAGTATAGTTCTCATGCTATAGTTTTAATGCTACATTCCAACACTCTTATCAATATGATTAATATGTCTTTGCATGAAAATTATACCGAGAAATTTGAAAAAGATAATGATAAAAGTAACTGTTAAATTCGTTACACGTTACCAAAAAATGTAACGAAGTTATTTTCTTCGTTACAAACAAAATTTGTAACATCGTTATTGTTACAGTTACCGAAAAAAAGTAACTGTAACGGTAACGGCGTTACAAGTTACAAGTAACGCGTTACTTTCCAACCGTGGCATTGATTCGTCGCGAATTTATTTCACATTATTTAGCCGAACATCGTGCCTCGGATTCATTGCGTTCCGTTAGAAGTTGATATTTCAATCTCACGTCAAAGGATTTTACGCAACGAAATTATATATGTTTTGTCGCAAGTTGAATTTTAAATCGAGAAATAAAGTACAAATCACGGAAATGTTTACGACACGAGATTCAGATCGAGAGAAACTTAAACGCGTACTTGTGAAGATCGGCTCGCAAGATTCGATGGCTAGAGATTCGAAGTTTAGTTTAATAATAAACGTATTAAATCTCATCTTTTCATTCTTTTTCTATTTATAATCTCGAGTGTTTGATTTTATTGCGAAATAATAGTCGTCACAACTATAGAGAGATTTCTAACAACTTCTTTTTGTTTGAATAGATATCCACAGACTATCAGTCGGATAAGAGACAAAGCCCATGTGAAACAAAGTTTACCGAAAAGAAAATACAGGTAGACACGATGTCACACAATTGCCTATTAAAGAAAGAATTTTTGAAATCCCAAAATTTTTCTAGCCGATCACATGACATTGTGTCTATGTGTGATTCTTGCTGGAAAGTATAATAGCCATAAAAAGATAAGAAAAAGTAAATGAAGAACTGTTACCAAAGCTTTATGAGAAGTAAACCTCATCAAATGAATTCATGCGCATATACATGCATTTTTCTATTATAAAATGCGCTAAATGCGACAAATTACAAATAAATGGAAAGGTGGCATAAAAGGAAAGAATTAATATATGTCTTAAGACAAAGAGAAATTTAAAATGCAGAAGATTTATAAAAAGAAGTTTAATTAAACTATTTTTAATAATAATGACTATCGTTAAAATAATTACAAAAAATATATATATATTCTTTTTTATAAAATGTGGTATTAATAAATTTAAAAAATTACTTGCAACAATATCAATATTAAATATATTAATAATAAGTTATAATATAATAAATATTATATGTGATACATATTTTTAATTATTACACTGACATAATTAATTAATATCTGGTATATTAAATTAATATATATCGTTTAATATTGAAAAAAAGTTGCAATTTAAGTATGCTGATTTAATATTATATATGTATATATACTTATGTGTATATGTATATATTATATACACTTATTATAAATATGTGTATGTATAATAACCATTACATATATATTACTAACATCTATATAATATTAAAACTGCATTATAAAAAAAGCTAGTGTAATATTAAAAATATTTACAATATAATTCAAAACAATTAAAAATTATTAATATCTTTATATGTAGTAAATAATCATGTATAAGTTTATAACATACTATCTCAAACATTTTTGATACTGTGTTCTTGATTTCTAAGCAGTTCGGTACGTTGCAGATCTTTAGTTTTTCAATGGACTGAATAAAAATTGAAAATATTTTGTTTGTCTGTCGATCTCCAACGATCGTGTTTCTATCTTGCGTTCAACAGCGAGAATTGATAATTCTGTCTCTACAAATTCGTCTTTTACAAATTTGTGTATCTAAAATAGATTATTTTAACAATCAAAAAGATTTTGTAATTAGTAATTACTGCATTATCGCACAGGTAAATTTTCATTATTAACATAATTATAAAACAAGATATATAGAAGATTGTACATATGTGATATATTCAATGACCAATAAATTTTATAATAAGAACTTAATATAAGTATGGAATTTTGATTCATAAAATTTACCTCCTCAAACTGCTCTTTAGAATATACATTGTTAATTATAACGGTTAATGCTGCCATATGTGATATATTCAATGATCAATAAATTTTATAATAAGAACTTAATATAAGTATGGAATTTTGATTCATAAAATTTACCTCCTCAAACTGCTCTTTAGAATATACATTGTTAATTATAACGGTTAATGCTGCAATATCATTGGCTCGCCTAAAAAATAAGAAAACAGTGTACATTTATAATAAATGCATACAGCAAACTTTTATTTTTATGAGCAGTATATCTTTATACAGTAAGTGCCGTTACCTGGGTTTTAGTTTTCTGAAATTTTTTAACATGTCTTTAAGCATATGCTTAGTATTCATCGCGAGAGTAGAAAGAAAAATATTAGCAATTAAAGCATCAGTACGTTCTCTTGCTCGTTCTAATTGTTCAGAATCAAAAACACGTAGTTTATACTCATATATTGGAGCAACTTTTGGTAATATTTCCTCTAAATAGTGGATTATGATTTCAGGCCTTTCAGAATAAGTCAAGCATTCCAAAATGGTATGATCAAAATTTTTCTCCTTATAGGTTTCATAAAAGAGTTTATCAAAAAGTTTATTCCGTGTATCAAAATCTGCTATTTTCAAACCATTACAGTATATCCACTTCTTCCATACAGGCGAAAGTCTACAAAAAGCAGTGCGGAAAGAAAGTAAAACTTTTTACCGAAATTGAGCGAATAGTATTTTCAGTGCTTGATAAATAATTTTTGATGAATTTGATAAATGATTTATCAATCATGCACAATATAAAAAATATGTCTAAGGAAACAATCATAAAATGTTACTTGTTTTGTTTAGAATTTGTCAAATGCCGTTGCAATTGATTATTAGTCATTACTTTGCATAAGGTACTATTGATAATACAGCTCCACTTTGCGAGTTCTTGCTTTAAACATTTAGTATAATCGTCGTCGGACATCAGAATATTAGCTTTGGAGTACATATGCCACATTATAAATTCTAGTGGACTTAGCACCTAAAATTTGATTAAAAACATAGTATCTTATTATTTAGTATTTTTTTGTTATTTAAGAGAACAGATATAATGTATGTGCAAATTATGCAAATGTGCAAAATATATATATATATATATATATATATATATATATACATATATATATATATATATATATATATATATATATATATATATATATATATATATATATATATATATATATATATATATATATATATATATATATATATATATATATATATATATATATATATATATATATATATATATATATATATATATATATATATATATATATATATATATATATATATATACATTTTTACTACACAATTTCATTTCAATGGGTATGTAATTTTTGGTATATATAGTATCTATATACTACGGCAATATTCAAAGTTACAGAATTCTTATTTGAACTGTATACATATTTTATACCATTTAAACATATATATTTTGAACATATATGTATACGTCGATGTGTATTTCGGTCTATATACATTTATGTGTCCATCAATGTATTTGCTATATTGTTTTAGACCACCCGTCCACCCCTTTTATTTTGAAGAGGGATAGTGCTAGAATAGTGCTGCTTGGGACAAACATGTTTACCATAAAAACCTATTTGAAGTTTCTGATGATGGTACTTTCATTTTTGGGAAATCTCCGGAAATACCGAAAAACAAAGACAACTTAAAAATTTTAAATGGCAACATAGGTATCGGGTTTCCCTGTATATGACAAATTATTTTCTTAATTTAATACTATTGTATATAAAAATATTGATTATAAAAATTACAAATTTGTAAAATTTCAAGTTTATAATAGCATTTACAAATGAATTATGTGTTATAAACTGTTCAACAAAATTATCTTAAAGTTATAATTTTATTTTTGCAAAATATTTGCAAATTTTTAATACGCGTCGCAAATATTTTATAACGGAAGAAAGTTAATATAATAAATGATTGTTAATGTACTCTATAATTTCTCAAAATTAAATATATATTATATCATTGACTTATAATATAAATCTTACGATGTTAGTATTGTAGGAAAATAGCAATGAAAAATTCTAAATCTAATTAAATTTAAAAAACCTACATTACATTAATATTTTAAAATTATATTTCTAACTTTTGGTAAATAATTATTTCTTAATTATGATAAGAAATCGCTGTATTATATGCATCTTTTTGCTTAACAGATAATTTATTAATAAAATCTGTTTTTATGATTACCTCGTGTTTATCTAAGAATGCGAAAATATTCGATATAAATTCCAAAACTTTGAGCATAGGGTACCAGGCGATATAATCTGTTTCTTTTACCAAATATTTAGCGAGTTGCCAAAATATGGAAAAATCAAGTTTCTTCTTTACCGCAAAATGAAACGCGTCATCGATGATTTGCGCTCGATTGAGAACATGTATATTCCCATATTCTTCTGAATTCAAGTATCGCGCAATTCTTCGCCAATTATCGGTATCATAATTGACGCGATAATATCCTGTTATACAACAAATTGCTTTTATCGATTATTAGATTCTTTTAATTGTATGGATTAAAAAATATTTTGAAATTTGTGCATTTTTTTCTATTATTTAACGTAAAAACTCAGAAATTGCGCATATTATAGTAAGAGGTTAGAGAAATTACGTATATTTTACAATTAACCAAATTTCAATTTTTTTGTAGGATATTTTTGTAATATCTTTTATATATATCATATTATTATTTTTAATATAATTTTTAATTATTACTAATTATAAAGATACATTCGTGTCTCATGTAATACATGATGACTGAGTAATTTTTAGAAAATTAAATAAACTAGAAATTTTGTGTAAATGGATTTTGACCATAAACATAATGTCCAAATTATATCTACACAAAGTTTATTTAATTTTAGAAATTTAAATATTATACACTATAAAGATAATAAAAATATAAGTTTATAATAGTTTATTTTCAATATCTACCAGTTTGCTGTATGTTGAAAATGATCCATTGATCTTTTTCAAAAACAAATTCATATTTGGAATATGATGGTGTTAACCAAATACTTGACCACGTTGCGTTAAAATCGAGACTCGTCTCCGTAGTAAATGTCAAAGGTATGTAATATTGTTTCTCATCCAACTCGTCGTAAAATTGTACCGATACTTTTACAACATTGCAAGAATAATTTCGCATCACCTCTAACACAGGAAAATATCTCTGCATAGCCCATGAATCTACCATTCTTTTTACCTCAAACTGATACTCAGTATATATTGTTTTTATGATAGTTTGTATAGCAGTCCATAAATGATCGGAAGTTGTTGCTTTAGGATTAGAGAATCTGTAAGATTTTACATGGCAGTATAAACATTGTATATAATTGATCGACATTATAAAAAAGAAAATCTCACAATTTATATAATTTATTTATGTATCTTAATTTATAATGTAATTTCCACAGATGTAAAAATTTTTAAACTTTAATTATATAAATATCTATGTATTTATTAATGACTGACAATGAGAATGTTTTGTCATGACAATAAATAATTGTTTCAATTTTTATATTACAAAAATTACAGTTATATATATACTAACTATATGCATTTCTATAGCTTTCTCAAAAAATTATTCGGTTTGAATAGTTTGTAATTAAGAAATTAAAAAAGAAATATCAATCAATATCCTGTTTGTTAAAAAAAAGTTCGATATCTACGTCTTTCGAATAAAACTAGAAATAGAACTAGAATATATTGTCAAACTTATATGTTTTAGTTTTTTGTTTTTGTGATGTATATAATTATTATATCACAATATATTATACTCACTGATCGTTCAAATACCTGTCCATACCTATTGAAAATACATCAGGCGGCAAAGTTTGTTCTAACATGCGCCATATAATGGATCCTATGATGATTGAAAGAAAAAAATTATTTAATATACTTAAAATTTTTTAATTTTGTATCTTAATTACATATAATAAAAATATATCTTTATTATCTGTAATTAAAATCAAATAATAAATTTAATTTGTGTAGTTAAATTTCTAGATAACAAAAGCTAAAAGAGTGTTAAATATATTTCAATGAAAAACAAACAAAAAATATAATTGAAGCAGATTAGGCACCGAATAATTAAATATATGTAAAAGTAATAAATTAGGTTACCATACAAAATTTGTAGATTTTATGATTTCTCATGATTCTTTTATAGTAGTAGATACACATATTGTAATTACAGTATTAAACACATTACATAATCGCACAAAAATTATACAAAATTTGATTTTAAGTTATAAATATTTTTTTGTTACTGAAATTTGCAAGAATTATAATAAAGTATAATAAAAATAAAAATAATATAATTAAATTAATATAACATAAATTAATTTGTTTACAATTGATTTTCTTAATTTTTTATGATGTTTACTTTCAAAGAGAAAAAGAGATTCATGAATTATTTAATTATTTATTTATACAAGGTTATATACATACCTTTGGCATGGGAAAAAAAAGAAAATAAAGAATTTTCAGGATAGCTGTTATATTCTATAACAGGATTTATAACAAGGTATGAATTTACATCGAGTAATTCATGTTGAACCTGAACTATGAACAAATCCATCATACGGAATTTTGGCATAGCCTAAAAACAATTCAATATGATCAAATAGAAAAAGGCAAAGTTTTTGGTACATATATAAACTGAAATTATTATTTTTTACTGTTAATAATAAAGTTTATATTATTTTGCATAATATAATGTATATTTCTATAATAAAGTTTTTTATGTTTAATGTGTGTGATTGTTTAAAATTAAATGTCATTAAAATTAGTTATTAAAAATGTATCTGTAAGTTTTTCTATGTAATTGTAGTTTATACGTAACTATTTCTTCAGTAATATAAATTTAAACATACATTATTTACTTCTCATTAAATCTCTTTAACGGATTTATAAGAATTTAAAAGACTTGGATTATCATATTTTTAATATTAAAAAAAATAAAAATACAAGATTTATACAAATATTTAAGAATGATCTATATTGCTATATTCTTAATTGTTTTGACTACATATTTAAATAAGGTTAGAAATAAAACAACCTTCTCGATAATATATGCTTGAAGAAACATAGTAAATCCTTCGTTTAACCATAGATGAAACCAATAAGTTGGACTCAACAGATCGCCGATATATTTTTGTGCCATTTCACGTGCTATTAAAGGCGCAATTATCATTTTGCGCGCGACAGGATCTAATGCTTCATTGTAGATGATATTTGATTCTCTAAAAATCATTATGCATAATATCGTTAATGAATGAAAAGATATAAACATGATTTTTACTTTAATACATTATAGTATTTATCTCTTCTTAATTATGTATATATATATGTTTAATTAAAAACAAATATACTATATACCTGATGTCCGGAATCAATCGCATTACCTGTTTGTCGTGTGCAGGTGGAACAAATGAAACCGAAAAGAAAAATCCTTTACCATTTTGCAATTTTTATAATAATTATTGAAAAATTAATTAAAAAAGATTGATCAATTCACGCGAGTATAAGCGAGCGAGACGATAAGCGAGAAGAGACAACCCAAAAAGCGATGTTTGCGATCGCTAGGCGCGCGACGATGTTCTGGGGGAGCGCTCTACAAATGGCAACGGTTACGTATGGACAATACATAACATTGGATTCTCATGTCCTAGCAATCACATATAGATTGCCCTTTCTCATTGCAAGCTAATATTTGTGCGCATTGGTCGATCTTTTTTAATAAATTTCTTAATAATTATTGCAAAAGTCACAATTAAAAAAAGTATTGGTAAAAGTCTTTTTTTTCAGTTTTATCGGCTCCACCTGCACGCAACGGATGCGATTTACTCCGAACACCCTATGTATATGTATATATATATATATTACTTATAAAAAACAAATCCCAAAGTCTGCTTGACTTCGTAATGAAAATCCAGGATTGCAATATGATCCACTTTCCTTTCAGCAGAAAGAAGAGTCCTCTCAAGAACTCTCTTCGAATTATTCCAATAATTTTCTAAGTACATAGTGATATTTTCAACAACGTATTGTGCGAATATCATGTGTGATATTAATTGTGGTCTGCCCCATACGTTGAGGTTCTCAAGAAAGTTTAAGTTTCTTTGAAGACTGGACACCACAAATGCTACATTATCCATAGACATCAAACAGGTTTGGTGAAAATATGTCCACATCATATCATCATTCGCATGTTTAATTACTCGTATCGGCATATTTGACAGAGCTGTATATTTTCGATGATGCATAATGGAAATATTAAAAGTAGTTCTTAATTCTGGCTCGTCCCAAGACGGAAATATTTGCCGTGTTATCGGCTGGAAACCTGTTGCGATTAACCACCTGCCGCATTTTAACGATACGTTTTAAATAATGATTAATTTTAAACGATTGTAAGCATAGAATATTTAAATGTACAATTTGTTTTTAATATCTTAATATTTCTATTTACTCTTTATATCCTTCTTCATTTGTGTACATAGATTCGAAAAAATCTTCATTATTTCGAATGTTATATTCCATATACAAAGTGTAAATTCCAGGTAATAACATATTCTCGAAATTGAGCACGGTAAGTTTGTCTTCATTGTGTATAGATTTTATCTTATATATCACTCCATTATTAATTCGCTTTAATTCGAGATGTATTTTTCTCGTCAAAGATGGTGCATAATAACTTATGTGTTGTGTTGCAGAACTAATATAAATAATAATTGTACATTCGCCGATGAGAGAATCGATGTATAATTTTAACTGCATCTCATAATGTAACGGTAGTATGACGTAGTTTGACGAATTGTAATTATATGCACTACGCCGTACGACTTCCCATTTTTCGTCGGTAGGATTCGCTATTGCCATTGCGGCAATGTATATTATACTACTTAATAATAGTTTTAAAAATATCATGTTAAATTTTTTTCGGATATCTATAAAAATGTTTGTTTATTAAAAATGAGATAAATATAAAAATAATGCGAATTGGTCAACTTCTGATAAAGAAACATACAAGAGAATTTATATCCCAACTTTAATAAGGAAATACGATTAATTTAGAAATAAGTTAAAATTAATAAAATAAATGTATATAAATTAATAAATTTAAATAAATTTATTAATAAATAAAAAGATCACATATGAAGAATGAAACGAAGAATAAATAAAGCTCACTCGAGCGAAATACTTGAATCATGTTCTTAAACCTAAAAAGTAAAGAGGCATGTCTCTTCTACATGGCAAATTCTAATTTACTTAATTTCAAACAACGCGAATATAATATATAATTTTTATTTCTTTTGTGTCAGTTACCTATTTTTAAGATTTTTTTAGTGCTATTACATATTTTTGTGTTTTGCATATTGTGGCATTGTATATATAAAATAAGGTTAAGTAATCATAATATTGTCCATAAAAATATATATAAAATTTAGAAATATTAAAATATCAAAATAAATAAGAAATAAAGAATTATGTTTGAATCACAATTGTATTTTATCCGTGATACTTTGTATGTTTACTAGCACGTTATTTTGAAAATATTTGACATTATAGTTGAAAATTTGATATTCCAAGTAATATTTAACATTTTAATCTTTGATATTTGTCATTTATAATAAAATAATATTTGATTTAAATTTAATTATATTATTATCAAGATAAAATTATATTCTCTATATAAAATTAAATTATATTTGAGCGTTAAATTATCATTACATATTGTTACAGTTATTTTGTTACGTTATTTTGAAAGTCTATTCGTCCCTTCTAATTTAACCTTAAGTAAAAGATATATTAAAAACAAAACAATAAACGCTCTGCCAAAATCAAATTTATTTGACATTTCGTTGATATAGCAAATTGGATCAAATGTGAAAAAGATGTTAAAAGAAATTTTGTTAACATTTGTCATGCTATACACATTTTTTCCAACAAAATATTGACCTATTTTTCGTTCTTTATTTGCTTATTTTATATCCAACTTGGCACATCTTACTTATATGTTATGTTAGAAAACATTGACTCTAGGCATTTATTACAAAAAAAATGGTTTATAAACAAAACATAGATAATACCAAATATTTTTAACATAATTTTATAAAGCTTTACTGTAAAACTAAACAGAATAACTTTATAACGTCCAAACTCTTGGCTTAGAATTAAAACTATTTTATTTGGCAAAATGGTCAAAAAATGTTATTACAATACACGCCTAAATGCCTTCGTTAATTGCAATATATCCAAAAAATTAAAATAGTATTTGCACTAAAAGGAGTATATTAATGTCAATTTGAAAACTGAAGAAAAATGTCTTTCAGAAAATGAAAGCGCTACGTTAGCTCTACACATTTTTATATGCATGCATTCAAACAGAGATATATAAGCACCTTGTTAAATATCTATTTTATGACTTATCGTATTTGTTGAACCAGCCACAGGTTTTTAGTATCAAAAGCACGTACATGCAATCACGATCTTATCGCTTCAAGAGACTATCCAAAACTGACGAAACGTGACAGCGCGTCGATATACCTTATATAAGCATATAAAGTGCGTACAGTTATCCAAATATTAGAATAAATAAATCTTTAAAGTTATGCATTACAAAGGAAATCCTATTTTCGATAGAATTCATCAATACATACTTAAATAATTCTTGTATACCGCTTTTATTTATAAAGCTTTTTATTGTAAAAACAATTTTTTCTTGAAAAACATTTGAGAAATTAAACCGAGAAATTATATTTTGTATATAAAAAAAAAATGTTTTATACTTCTTATTTTTTATAAAGAATTAAATCTTTACAATAATTGATTGTATAAAATAAATACGAAAGAAAATAGAAAATTGATGACATTACCGGTCGCGTTTTGACTGCAATAAAGATAATTACTTATTCAAATCATGCGATTATTTTAGCTCATCCCATTATTATTTTATTGATTCATCTTTTATGTAGCTGGTAGATATATTTATCCAAATATCAAATAATGCGGATAATTTGATACTGACAGTATTAACATTTGCACGTAATATTATGTATCTTATAATAATTTTATCTTAACACGTATACAATATGTATACAAAATAATGTAATGAACCCATTAATCTAGTAACATATTTATTTTTTAAAACAAAAAAAAGTTTCTTAAAATAAAAAAAGAATTATCCAGCTATTCTAATAAGCAAATTCTTCTATTTATTACCAGATTTACTCATCAAAATAATATACACAATCTTGTTCTTAATATATATTATAATATAATATTAACATCATATTTTCTAATCTTTAAAAACTTGAGATATGTACCCTCTTAGGTGCTTTACTTTGTACATAATTTACTAACAATTTTTACGCGTTTCATAGTTATATAATAATCGCGTTTACTTCGAATCGAGCCATCATGGGACCCATTCCGCCCCTCGTCCTCAGAGAAAATGATCTTCCTCGATATAAATATGATATTATGGCATATGGTGATGACCTTAGAGAAAATATTAATTTGGAAGATATAGATGATATTATAATGAACGCTGATGTCTTTAGAGAAAATATTAATTGCGAAGATGAAGATGATATGGTATTAAACGATGATGCCTTTAGAGAAAATATTAATCTCGAAGATGATGATGATATTATACCGAACGATGATGCCTTTAGAGGATATAATCATTTCCAAGATGAAATTAATATTATACCGGACGCTGATGAGGACTTTGCAAGAAATAATGGAAATGAAGATAATAGACCACCATTACACATGTTATTATTTACACCTACCCTCGAATATATAAGAAATGGTACGTATATAAAGTTCATTACTTGATTTAGATACGTAATACTTTATGATTCTGTTATTACATAATGATATAGTTCTGTACGTCGTATTGCACCAATTTTTCGACGAATTTGAAATTACGGTAGTTAGCTGCCCCTGTCTAACTAGACCGCCATATAATCTTGCTGCGGTTGGTAAGAAACATAATAACAAGCATTTTTGATTTTCTGCATTCGAAATGCAATACATTTACATAATGTGTTTTACATTTTAACAGGACTATCTGGCAACACGGGGATTTTGCAAATGGGTGATGTACATAATGTTGCCCCAATCTCGCAGACAGATCTGATATTCGACCTATATTATCAAGCTATTGCTATGATTTCTTTGTTATTGGATCAGGTTTTGCCGCAAAACCATCTATGCCTTACAATGGTCATGTATGTATTATTGATATTTTTACATATAAAGAAACATATTGACTTCATGAAAAGAAATTGAATATGCAAACAGATTATTGCTTTATTCTTACTATTTTTACTACTACATATCTTTTATTTTAATTATATATCAATTTATCACTAATTTAAGTAGCGCTTCTACTTATTTGAATCTCATATTTGTCTTTTTATCTATTTATAAGAACGCATTTTTTTACAGCTTACTATAAACACGATAATCTCAGCAAATCCCACAAATATTATTAATAATAGTCGTATCGTTTATGAGGATGCTAATACTGGGCAGATAAGATTGCAAACTGTCAACGATCCCAATCAAATAAAATGCTCTATGTTGGGCAACTTCTATTTTAGTGAAGGTAGACGAGGAATGATGATTAAAATTCGCGCTAAAGGACGCAAAACCCTTTATAATCTCACATCGTTAATACAGTACTCTCTGTATTTTCATTGTCGATATCCAATCGGTAAGAAATTATTTATATGAGAGTATAATTTAATTTTGCGAAATAAATAGAGAACAAAAATAATAAAATTGATTCATAAAAATACTGTGTCTATAAATAAATAAATCTTTCATATCCAACATTTTAGGTTTAGGTGTTGTGCTCAAAATAGATGGGGAAAAAATGTTATTATATATCACACCAGAAAATTATTTAGAATGGTTTACCCCAAACATGGATTTTGACAGATGGTTAAAGTTATATCAATTCGACTGCATGGATCTAATAGCTGTGGGTGCATCAACCAACCTTGTAATGACACAGAGATCTCACGAATGTGTAAGTTATTTGTTAAGTGCACAAGCAGGCATTACTTTTTAAATCATTGTTTTTAAATTCTTTATTTTTAAATAGATCGGCATTAAATGACGAATTTTTTTGTTCTTTTTTTTTTTGGTTTTTTGTAATGAATTTGCATTTGTACGCATTGTTACATATATGTTATGTGAATTAATATATTATAATATATTTCAAAATTTCATGCTTGTTAGCTTGATTATTGTAATATTATTAATAACGTCAATACTTCATATTCAACGCCGATACATCACGAAACGTTCATATATCATAAGCTTTATATTTTGCAGCGGATGTTCGCAAGTCCTTACAGGTTTAACATTTTCTCCAATTATCAAACAGGCGGAGAGTTTCACCTTGATATGACACCGAATGAAACAGAGTACATTGGTTACTTCAATATAGCGCAAAGAATATATTTTTAAATGTGACAAATATTTTTATTCTTGATATGAAATCATGTGTCGCGAGAAATTTAGATGAGATATTTCTATAAAGTGACAAAGATATTCTTGACAAGAATATCTCACATAAATCTTTAGGACAAGGATTATCTCCGCACAAAGATTATTTTTTTTCGGACGCAACAAATCGCAATGTTGTTATTAATATTTTAATTTACTGACTGAAATAACGTAGTTCAAATGGTCTACGTTTCTGTTTTGATTCATGACAAAGAAAAATATCAATAAAATGTTTTAGAGTTTGATGATATTTTTCTATATTTTTCCTCTTACTTTCTCTGCAGATGAAATAATTTTGTGTGTGTGTGTGTTCGACTTCTTTTACAAACAATTGGTATAAGGATACATGCACACAAAATACATATTTGTAGATAATTACTATCTACTATCTGAATTAGATGGTGCAAACAAACATAGAACTGTATCTACTGCAAAACGTTAAATTTTAATTTCATGAAGCTATTGTAATTTGTCGATATTATTTTAGTATTATATTACCAATTTAAAAAAAATTCACACATACACACAAATTTTTTCAATTTTCTAAATTTATCACATTTTTATCACATTAAACACAATTTACAAATTTGTACCAATTTGTAAATTTAAAATGTATTTACAATCTAACAAAATTATTGAGCCATTATTATTCATAATCAATGCAGTCTTGTACTTGTTTATGCTGTCATTTTTCTAAATTTTATTTCGGAAGAAACCATTTCTAATTTACCGAAATGTTTTATGCAATTAGCAATATCCACTTATATAGATTATAAAAGTAGAATAATATATTTAATAAATAGTAATCGAAATACGATTACTATAATAATATATCATAATTTGCAATATTTTTAGAGTAAAATTATGTTATATACAATGTATATAAAAAATTTGTAAAATATATACTTAGTTTTTTAAGAAACTGTGTTATGTATATATTTTCGTACATATATCATACATCTAAGCTCATATTTTTTATATTTATCCCATCACATTATAAAGTATACTATCAAAATAATTGCATAAAAAATATCGTGGATGATAAATATAGTAAGATGTCATTTATATCAATTATATCGATCATTAAAATGCGCATATGTCATGTTTTGTATTAATAGAATATAGTTGTAGAAAAAAATAAAATTTTGCTAATTAATATCTTATCATTATCGATATTTCTTTTTAATATACACGCTTAAATTATTGTGATAATAAATATCTATTTTATTTATAGCTGTTTAGAAATACTCAAATCTTGATAACAATTTAGTCTATGTTCAGGTGTCGTAGCGTTACCAAGTGGCTTATCCGGAATTTTAAGCCAAATAAACTTTTGATTAAGATATTTCAGGAACTAAAGCCGTAATTAAAAACTAACAATATTTTTCTAATGTAATATGAATACAAACTTTTGATTACGACCAGTTGGACTAATTGTAAGATTGGTACAATCAATCCTGAGAAATGATAATCGTATATCAGAGTTGTGACAATTTTTGTTCTCATTTTTCTTCAAGTTTAGGTTCAAACTCACGTACGCACATTTGCATGCAAAGCGAGTATATCCCTCAAGACGAATTTGCAACGCTCACGATTATTCGTTTAGTATGCACATACATCTGGAGAGACCAAGCTATAGTTTGTATATGTGTGTGCACTTACTTATACTTAATAATGTTAATAAGAATATCGCAAAATGTAACAAGAAAAAAAAAGTGATAAAATAAGATTTTTGGAAAACACGATTTGAAAGCCATGAACCTCAAACTGCACAAACAGTTTTCATCAATTATAAAGCATAAAATTGTTTATATATATGATTCTATGATTTTAAAATAAATTATATAATATATCTATTTCATTTATATCAACTATCTATTTAATTTATATTTATATTTTTTTTTGGTTTTCTACAAAAAACGGAATGTGTCACTTTAAGAAGTAATTGCGTGAAAAGTCAAAAACAGAATATATAGAACTGTACATTTTTAGATTCTGTTTTGTATCCAATAGTGGACTTTGCTTTGTGTAAATTATCAAAAATTGCAAAACCTTTTCTATGTCTAAAAAATCTGAAAAAGCTTTGATTATTTATGTTTATTTATAATAATATATTTGTAATAAACAATTAACAACTAAAATCTTTACGTTACTCAAGATTATAATTACAATTTTTCAATGTCATTGAAATCGATAAGATTGCTTCTAATATTAAGTTTCGTCGTAAATTTTAAATGAAAAATAATTAACTAACAGGAGAATCAATGCTTGAAAAAAACTTTATTAATTATGTAATATCGTAGAAAACTACACTAATTAATTATCAGTCAAGCATTATTAAGAATTTTTGCGATTTAAATTTGCGAAGAAATTTTCGTACAGATTAAACACAGTTCAAACTGAGCCTTGACTCATCACGAGTTTATTCCATAATGTTTAGACGGACATCGTGCCTCGGATTCATAATGTTCCGTAAAAGTTGATATTTTAGCCTCACGTCAAAAGATTTTATGCAACGAAATTATATACGTTATGTCGCGAGTCGAATTTTGAATAGAAAAATAAAGTACGCAGAAATGTTTACAACATAAGATTCAGATTGAGAAAAACATAAACGCTTACTTGTGAAGATTGGCTCGCAAAATTTGATGGCTGGAGATTCAAAGTTCAGTTTAATAATAGATGTATTAAATCTCATCTTTTCATTCTTCTTTTGCTGCATGTCGAATTTTTTTGAATTAACGTTATTCATAATCTCGAATGTTTGATTTGATTGCAAAATAATTGTTGTTGCAACTATAAGAGAGATTTCTAACAGCTTTTTTCGTTTGAACGCATATTCACATTCTACTATTGGATAAAAGATAGATAAGAGCCACGTGAAATAAAGTTTACCGATAAGAAAATACGGATGAACCAAAATGTCACACAATTGGATAAGATAAAATTTTTGAAAGTCCAAAAATTTTTTTAACCAATCATAAGACATTGTGTCTATGTGTGATTCTTGCTGGAAAATATAATAGCCATGAAATGAAAAGAAAAGGATAATGAAATACTATCATGAGAAGGAAACCTCATCAAACAAATTCATGCGCATACAAACGCATTTTTCTATCATAAAATACGCTTACTTTAAATACAACAAATTACGAATAAATGGAAAGAAGGCATAAAAGAAAAGAATTAATATATGTCTTCAGATAAAGAAAAATGTAAAATGCAGAGTATTTATAAAAAGAAATTTAAGTAAACTGTTTTTAATAATATTGACTATGTTTAAAATACTTACAAAAAATATATATTTTTTATAAAATGTGGTTATAACAAATTAAAAAAAATTGTTTCCAACAATATCAATAATTAATATCTATATTAATAATAAGTCATAATACAATAATAAGTATTATATCTGATACATATTTTGAATTATTACACTGACATAATTAATTTATATCTGGTATATTAAATTAATATATATCTTTTAATATCGAAAAGAGAGTTGCAATTTAAGTATGCTGATTTAATATTATATATGTATATATATATAATATACTTATGTGTAAATGTATATATTATATAAACTTATCATAAATATGTGTATGTATAATAAACATTACATATATATTACTAATATCTAAAATAATATTAAAACTGCATTACCAAAAAGCTAATGTAATATTAAAAATATTCACAATATAATTCAAAACAATTAAATAATTATTAAAATCTTTTTAAAAATAATAATCAGGTATAAGTTTATAACATACTATCTCAAACATTTTTAACACTGTGTTCTTGATTTCTAAGCAGTTCGGTATGTTGCAGATCTTTAGTTTTTCAATAAACTGAACAAAGATTGAAAATATTTTGTTTGTCTGTCGATCTCCAACGATCGTGTTTCTAACTTGCGTTTAACAGCGGAAATTGATAATTCCGTCTCTAATTCGTCTTTTACAAATTTGCGTATCTAAAATAAATAAATATTATTTTAACAATCAAAATAATTTTGTAATTAGTGATTATTGCATTATCGCACAAGCAAATTCTTATTATTAACATAATTATAGAAAAGATACGTAGAGGATTGTACATATGTGGCATATGCAATGATCAATAAATTTTATAATAATAACTTAATATAAATATATATATGTAAGTATGGAATTTTGATTCATAAAATTTACCTCGTCAAACTGCTCTTTAGAATATACATTGTTAATTATAACGGTTAATGCTGCAATATCATTGACTCGCCTAAAAAATAAGAAAACAATGTACATTTATAATAAATGCGTACAACACATTTTTATTTTTGTGAGCAGTATATCTTTATAAAGTAAATGTCATTACCTGAATTTTACTTTTTTGAAATTCTTTAATATGTCTTTAAGCATGTACTGAGTATTTCTCGCGAGAATAGAAAGAAAAATATTAGCAATTAAAGCATCAGTACGTTCTCTTGCTCGTTCTAATTGTTCAGAATCAAAAACAAGTAGTTTATACTCATATATTGGAGCAACTTTTGGTAATATTTTCTCTAAATAGTAGATTATGATTTCAGGGCTTTCAGAATAAGTCAAGCATTCCAAAATGGTATGATCAAAATTTTTCTCCTTATAGGTTTCATTAAAGAGTTTATCAACAAGTTTATTACTTGTATCAAGATTTGCTATTTTCATACCATTACAGTATGTCCATTTCTTCCATCCAGGCAAAAGTCTACAAAAGGCAGTCCACAAAGAAAGTAAAACTCTTTTAACGAAATTGAGCTAATAGTATCTTCAGTGTTTGATAAATAATTTTTGATAAATTTCAAAAATGGTTTATTGCACATATGCACAATATAAAAAATATGCATAAAAAAACAATGATTATAAAAAGTTACTTATTCTGTTCAGGATTTGTCAAATGCTGTTGCAATCGATTTCCGACTATTGCTCTGCATAGGATACTATTGACAATACAGCTCCATTTTGCGAGTTCTTGCTTTAAACATTTAGTATGATCGTCGCCGGACATTGGAGTACTAGCGTAATATGTAAACCATTTCATATATACTAGCGGAATTACTATTGCCTAAAATTTAATAAGAAATATATTATTTTTATTTAGTTTATTTTTTTTATTATTTACAATAGACATAATGTATGTGCAAAATATACATATCTTTATTAGACAATTTCATTTTAATAGATATGTAATCTTATTGTTAGTTATATACATCTACACACTAGTACAATATTCAAATTTATAGATCTCTTATTCGAGCAATTCTGTACATATTTTGTATCATCTAAACATATATATTATAAACATATATATATCGATGTATATATTTCAGTGTATAAACATATATTGACGTATTGATCGATGTATGCGACAAATTATTTTCTTAATTAAAAACTGTTGTATATCAAATATAGATTTTAAAAATTCCGAATTTGTAAAATTTCAATTTTTATAATATAAGCATTTATAAATGAATTATGTGCTATATAAATTGTAACAAACTTATTTTAAAATTAAAGCTTAGTTTTTGCAAAACGTTTGCAAACTTTTTATGCGCCGCAAATATTTTCTAACAGAAGAAAGTTAATATGATAAATATTGTTATTGTATTTTATAATTTTCAAAAATTAAGTATAAATTATATCATTGACTTATAATACAAATTTTATGCAGATAGTATTATAAGAAAATAACAATATATACCTACTATATATATTTATTATTTAAATAATTATTTCACAATTATGATCAGACATCGCTGTATTATTGTATATGCACTTTTTTTCTTAACAGATAATTTATTAATAAAATTTATTTTTACGTTTACCTCGACTTTTGTTTTGAATTCATGAAATTCAAAGAATGCGAACATATTCGATATAAATTCAAAAATTTTGAGCATAGGATACCATGCGATATAATCTGTTTCTTTTGACAAATAATTAGCGAGTTGCCAAAATATGGAAAAATCAAGTTTCTTCTCTACCGCAAAATAAAATGCATCATCGATGATTTGTGCTCGATTGAGAACATGTATATTCCTATATTCTTCAGAATTCAAGTATTCAATTTTTATAATATAAGCATTTATAAATGAATTATGTGCTATATAAATTGTAACAAACTTATTTTAAAATTAAAGCTTGGTTTTTGCAAAACGTTTGCAAACTTTTAATATGCGCCACAAATATTTTCTAACTGATGAAAATTAATATGAAAAATAATTGTTATTATACTCAATAATTTTCTAAAATTAAATATAAATTATATTATTGACTAATAATACAAATTTTATGCAAATGATATTATAAGAAAATAACAATAAAAAATTCTAAATCTGACTATTAAATTTAAGAAATCTATTAGCCCTTTTCGAAATTATATTTTTTCTTTTTATAAATAGAAGGTAATATAATTATATATAAT